GCTGTTAAACACAATTATTTTTAAAAATCATTTGAAATAATGGGGGTTGATAACTTCAACAAAAGCATATGCCATTGATTAACAAACTTGTCGCTTACAGGTTTACAAGCTATTGTTAAAAATCAATTGCCCAATGGAGAAAATTAATGGGATTTTTACTTCTGGAACCCAACTGTTGCACTCTATGCACCTTATTTTGCAAGTAAGCTATTTTCTGTGAATGTGGGAGACTTCTGATTCATTAGACGCTATAGGTAAAGAACTAGAAGAATAACAAAGTGCAGTAAATGGTAAAAACTATTGCTATAAACAATTTTAAAATTACTACATATGATGAGAAAGACCAGTCTGCAATATCAGGTAGGCCACGCCCACTGCTATAAGTTGGATAATGCTAATGTGTACCATTGCCCATAGCAGTACACCAGTGCTACAGTAGCCTACTTTGGTGTCTTTAGTATCACTTTGAGTTCAGTGCAAGCGACTCAAAACGGTTAACAAGTGTAATAAAAAGTATTTATTTTAATGTATGTATAGACAGACAGGTAGAATAAAACAATTAACAGATGGCTTCCCAGCAGGCACACATCGTCAGGTACACAACGTCAGGTGACCAAAATTAAATGTCAATTTAACGTGTAATGTCAATGTTAATTTGATGTACAATACCAACTTCAGCTGATGTTGATTTGTTGTGTAACCAAAATCCAATGTTAAGTCAACGTCAAATTGGCGTCAAATACTGACTATTTTCATTCTCAACCAAAATGCAAAGTCTGTCCGCCATCATGTCCAACGTCAACCTGACATTATATTGACATCCTGTACCTACTCAGTAGAAGTTCAGGGCCCATATTCACAAAACATCTTCACAAAGCTAAAATTAGCTCATAACTGGCTGATTTAGGAGAAAATCTTAAAAATAATGGCTGTGTCAGTCCTAAATTTAGGACTCCTAAATTTTTGCTCTAAGAGTATTTTACAAAGCGTTTTAGTGCTAAAACTAGCTCATAAATCTGTGAAACCTTAGGAGTAGTGAAGAGGACTTCTAAGTCACTAAGACCAAACCACAAACTATCCTAAAATGGCTGTTGCTGCAGTTTGGTTTTGGCGGTTATCCCAACTCCAGATTTTCCTTTGATTATATCCTTGTTTTCATAAACCATTTGGGCAAGAAGTAACAGCTGTTCTTGCATCCAGTTTGGTTTTCTTTTACGTTTGCATGTCTTACTATCAGCCATGATTATTCTACTATGTTAATTAAAAGGCTGTTTATATGCATATCCGCTAATTGTTTACATGAAGCATTGCCTACATGTAAGAGGCTGACAATTGGATGAACATATACTTGTTTAATTAGTGACACTTAGCCTGCATTTTAAAAATATTTATTTGAATGTGGCAATTAACATTTTTATATTTTATATTTAATAAAATCTTTATTTGAATATGGGAACATAACATTGTGCTCTACAATATTTCTATGAATAAATCTCTGACAGAGACCCCTCCCCTATCATCCAATCACTGTGTGCATAGTTAGTAAGCATGCTGACATCTTCCAATGCCAACCCCGCCCTTACTCTTAGCTTAAAGTTCCCCTATTATGGATTTTTGAAAATTACCTTTCATGCAGTGTGTAACAGAGCTCTAAGTGAATGAAAACATCCTGCCAAGTTTTAAATCTGAAAGTGCACTGTGTATAAAGTTATTGTCTCTCAAAAGAAAGAGTCGACTCTGAATCATTGAAAGGAGTCGTTTTTAAAACGAATCTTAAGCTGTTTCATGTTGACGTCAACATGAAACATTAGCATATTGCCTGCCCACCTGTTGGTCTTTTCACGTTGGTCTGAATGAAAATGTAAATTCATTCTTTGCCACTAGGTGCCACTTTTGGAGCGGTAAAAGAAATTACAGATCCATCTTTGAAATTTGATTGGTTGATAACTTTGAGCGTTGAGATTCGCGCTCGCGCATTGTATTAATGTGCTTTCGCGCTACAATAATGCGCCCTCCACATTTGTCAGTAAAATAACACCATATTCCCTGGTAATGCTGTACACAAAGCGGCACTGCGCTCACAAACGCTGCTTTATCAGGCATTACAGGCATGATGAAATGAAACTGAGACCAATCGGACCAATCACCGCAGATTAGCGTCACGCAAAGGAGGGGTTTGGAAAAATGAATCGTTGAGCGAATCGTTTGGGAGACTTGAGCAAATAAGGTAAAAAATAAATGCATATTATAAGACAATTAAAGTGTTTTTTGACCTTGCATGCATGTCAACCTGTTGTTGGGGACTCCCAAAACCAAAATATGAACCTTTCATAACCCATAATAGGGGCACTTTAAGACTTCTCTCTATGTTTGTCTCAGCAGCTTTGTGAATAGTTTTTAAGAGTAAACTCTTAGCTAAAAACTTTTACTGCTATTTAGGAGAACTCTTAGTGGTAAGATAAAATGTTTTGTGAATACGGGCCCTGGAGTCTACAATTCCAAAACAAAAACATCAGAACCGGTGAGAGATGTAACAAGATGAGATAAGGACGTAAAACAGAGTCGTGTTACACTGTATCTAAATTTGCTAGTTAACAATAAATGAATCAATACTGCAGGCCTATTTCTGCAGTGTTCATTTTGTTAAGGTTTCTGCGTTATAATGACCATTTAGCTGAAGTTTTAAGATAATCTGTCAAATATTGCATGTCCATGTACCCGTGCAAACAGCTGGTCATTATAATAAAATAGGTTTATTTTAATGACCTGACCCAAAACTCAAATTTATCAGCACTTTATAAATACATTTTTATAGAGAAAGTATTTTAAAAGCCGCTAACACTTATCTTCACGACCAGTTCTGTAAAAGGAAGCCGTCATTCATGCGTACTTACTTAAATCCATGCCCTGTTACAACATGAGATCTCTTCATTTGCGTTGCTTTCCATTGGAGAGCGTCTTTTTTGAAGAAGTAACGCGAAAACGCCCACCCAGATGTGCGCTCCTCCACTATATTGACTATATTCATCATGTGCATCGCCCCCACACTTCTTGACTTCTGAATCTTCCTTTCCCGGCTGGGACGTTTGTTATCTCGTCTCTGAATATGCCCCGACGTCCCTGCAGTGAGTCACACACCAAAGCCAAAATAAAAGTGAGGGAAACCCTGGGGTTGTAGTAGATACTGATGCAATTCTAAATAAATAAACATTTTCTTAACAGACTTTTGAAAAAAAAAATAAAAAATAAGGTAGGCTGAACAAACAAAAGTTTGGTTCAGGTTAATATTTTATTATGTGATCAGTCTTCTGCTTTCAGTGGATTTCCACATTCAGTAGGACATGCTTTGTATGTGTTCCTTCATTTATTTATACCTCCACACATATTCACACTTCATATTTTACTTTTTATATTTTTATTGATGCCATTGAGTGTGCTAGTAAATATTTGCTGTTTTATTGAATTTATATGTATAAAAATGTCATTGTGCACATAAAAAGTACAGTATTCTATGTACATTTACAGTATGCATTACATTTGAAAATTTCAACCCACAAAACTGAAAAGTTTAATTGTGCCTTTTTGTAAGTAAAATCAAAGTGGTGCCAAAGTCACCACCTGTATTGATATTACTCTTAAAACATTTAGGCCTGGTTTCACAGACAGGGCTTAGACTAAGCCAGGATTAGGCCATAGTTCAATTAGGACATTTAAGTAATTTTTATTAACATGCCTTAGAAAAAAACATTACTGGTGTGCATCTTGAGACAAAACAAAGGCACTGATATATTTTAACATCAGTGCAAGTTTCTTTCAGTTGAAACAGCTCAGACTTACATTTCAGTCTGGGATGTACTTGTACTAATGTAGTAATGTACTTACTATATCACAGAATCATATAAAAATGTAATATGATCAAGTGTGTAACAAGACAGATTGATGGCAACAAAAGGTGTTATCAGTCTACCTATTTGGATGGTAACATAATGATACAAACATATTTAAAGGGATCTGTGTTTTTTTAATTGTTCAAGGGCTTAAAGAAACCAGGTGTGTGTATGAATCAGCAGAGCTGAATGAGTGTGCTTAGACGGCCTACTTTCATGACCAGCCTTCTGGTGTCTCTGTCCCTTTGCGAGTTATCATAAATATTTGTTTTATTCAGCTGCAACATATCTCTTTGCCAGATTAAACACACACACACACACACACACACACACACACACCACTAAAATGAGCTTCAGCAGTAATTTCATTTCACATTTTTCAGTCTTAGTACAACACCTGTCACCTGTATGGCTATAATGTTCAAATGCATGCACAGATGTGTTTGCAGAAATATAACAGGTATATCTTCCTAACAAAACACCTGTTGTCTTTGGATTTGGTGAACTGTTGTAAACATGAGGAGATCATAATGCATTCACTGTTTATTTGCTGCAAATGTGAACACTGAGCCAGAATGGTGATAGTTATGTTTAAATACGAGAGAATGTTTGTTCTGAACATTAGCACACACTGAAATTAGAGGATCTCACCACCCTCTCTCTTTCGCAGTGCAGAAACAATCTTCCGCTCAGTCACCCTGCAGCAGCCCACAAGTCACAGCTGTGAAAAATCAGGATAGAGCAAAAAGCCTTTTCTGTAAGCCTTGGAGTCGCTGTGATCACGACAAGCTCAGAACACCATCAGTAATGATTACAACACCACATGTGAAATATGTTCCATATAGATCATCTTCCCCTTAGATAAGATAGCTAGATAGACAGACAGACAGACAGACAGAGAGATATATAGATAGATAAAGTGAAACTTAGTAAGCACTTTAAAACTTAACATTCTGTCAAAATGACATCAGCACAATGCACTGATGAAGACAAATGCGCCATCACATGGCATTGATGACAGGTAATAGGAACAGAAGTGGAGTCAACCCGCAATAACTAAACCTGTGACGGAACCCGCATTGCATCACAGAATCAATTCCTGGCCAGTGCACGCGCCCCAGGCTCCGCCGGTTTAATTACTCCTTTACCTATCAGCGCGTGCAGTGCACACTAATCCGAAGCGTTTAGGTGATGCATTAACACCCACAAGTATGTTTTAAGGGAAGCGCTTGGCTTTTTTGAAGTTTAGCTTCCAGTCTGAGGCGAATTCAAAGACGAGCGAGAGGCATCAGCAACAGGGCACTGCCAAATCACCCGCGAGGACAATTACACAGAAAGTATCTTGATCGTCTAGACGAACAACTGGGACCGAACAGCACTGACGTCATTACTCGATACTGATTGCGTTGTTCTAATTGTGTGGAGATTTCTTCCATTTTTGCGTCATTAAATGGAGCGGCGTAGGTGACGTTTGGACTGTTGCGTTCAAGAGGAGCTCTTACCAAGACTAAAAGCCGGCGCGGAAAAATGTAAGTAGCCGTCAAAGACGAAATATACAACCTGTTAAGGTGTCCAATGTTGCTGCCGATAAACTGCGCGTTAAAGCGCTTTAGAAGTCACTCAGCTGCCATCAGAACAATCCGTTCGCCTTTTTTGAAGCTTTTGCGTGTCATCCTTATTCCGAAGGGCATTTAATCGACTGTGTTATAAAAGCCGGCGCGGAAAAATGTAAGTAGCCGCCAAAGACGAAATAGCAACCTGTTAAGGTGTCCAATATTGCTGCCGATAAACTGCGCTGTTAAAGCGCGTTAGAAGTCACTCAACTGTCATTAGAACAACCCGTTAGCCTTTTTGAAGCTTTTGCATGTCATTCTTATTCCGAAGGGCATTTGATCGACTTGGTTATCTTGTGGAGCTCAAGGGCACAGTGTTATTCGTGCAGGGAGTTGAACAGCCGCCTGATTCTCTTGTCTAGATCCACTAATGAGGACAAATAGGCACAATTTTGTCAGACCGACTCTATGCAAGATGATGTTCTATCGCTCTCAAGAAACCCTGTGGATTCAGTCGTTTATATATTTACATCCGATGTCCCTTCAAGGTCCTTCCTTTGTGTTGGAGTAATCTGAAACGCAAGAAAAAAATATTTATATTTGCATCTACATAGTTTAAAACTGAAATCGATATCTCCACCTCTGCATTCACTTAGGGGACAAATTCTGCTGAAATTGGAAATTGAAGAGTTCACTTCACATTCAGGAGAGTGAAAAATCTCATAACTTGGAGAGAAACTTTATCTCCCAACTTGATTGATTTGGTATCATGTGGAGTTGATAAATAGCTATCAATTCAAGTTTGATTTAAAAAATTATGCACGCAGTAAATTTATGGTAAAAATGTCAGCTGTATTTGCTGGAACTTTACCATAAAAATACACTGAAGATATTACAAGCATTACAGGATGGCATTTTGGAGACCAAATTCACAGTTTCTAAGTGTATATGTCATTCTGCTATATAATGTGTTATAATAACCTATCTGATGTATAATCTGTTTGTTGTAATGTGCTGATAAGATACAAATGGTACATGGAAGGCCACATGGTGACTTAAAGTTCAGCAACATTGGCCTCTCCAGCAACAGTGACTAATAATAACTTGAAGACAGAGCACAGTGTTGCCCACACAAACACAAAACACCATCAGGGTAACTCACATGACACTAATGTACCACATTAAAGTCACCATGAAATCAAAATGGAAAATTCTTATTTTTTAATGGAATACTGTAGTGTTTATTATAAATAATTTATCCGCACCTCATTATTATTATTTTTTTAATTCATGTGCCCTCGTAATCTTTAATCAAAAACGTTAACCTCCCCTCCCCCTCAAAACGACTCATCTTCTCTTCCGGTCACGAGCTATGGTGCAAGGGCGGAGCTAGTGACGTGAGGGGTAAACGCTGGGATAAACGACAGGGGGAAAAGCTGAAGCTGATGCTTCACTTTATAGCACTGACACCAGTCATGAGGGAGTACGTTACCCCTAAACATTGAAGAGATATTAGGATATTACGACAACATTACTCTTAGGACATTGCACTACTACTAATTTTTTTCATGAATATGACCTGATGGAGGACGCGCTCAGTCATTCAGGCAGTCTCTCTCTCTCGCTCTCTCTCTCTCTCTCTCTCACTATTTAGGCATGTTTTGTGCCGTTGATCGTCGTCGTCATCCTTAATAAATAAATTTATTCATGCTTGCAAGGTGTCGGCTGTGAATCCAGTGGAGAGAAATCCCTCACCACTAACTGCAAACTGGCATTCAGATCTGCCTCCATTTTGTTAGCAACGCGCCCTCTCATTTCAGATGCCGTTTCACTCGGATATACGTCACAGTAGAGAAGAAAATCACAACTTCCGTTTCATGCCGACTTTAAATAAATAACAAAAAATGCTACTTAGAGTGACTCAGTGCACAGTATTTTTACAGTATTCTATAGTGAAATTATATATGTATTATTTTTATTTAATATATTTTATTGTATATGCAATTAACTTGTTAAATTAATTAACTGTTTAGTTGAAAAATTCATTGGTTTTTATAGCATTTGTACATTATTTGTCTGTTCAAATCACAAAATACAGTGTATTTCCAACCTGAATGTATTTACACTCGTAGAATTTTGAATGAGCTAAAACCATTTTGGCAGAGCAGAAGAGAGCCACACGCTATTGAGTTTTATGCACACTGGGTCTTATTCCCTGTCTGGGATGGCAATACTTGTATGTAATCTAATATCGACCCTTGTTTCACACCCCCACTACGGATCGACGTCTCATTTTCTCACCCAGACCCATATTTAAATAGTCAATGAACAAGATGTTCTTTTGAACTCTTTCGGGCTTCCACAATTCATTAAAAGAACATTCAGAAAGTTTTGTGCAAGATGCATCAAATTGGGTCAGTGTGTTAATGCTGAGGGCGTTGGAACACCCAATTCAAAGGAATGCAAACGGGCAGGGATGCTCACCTGTCCATACCACGTGACGTAGCCTTTGTGCACAAACATTAGTTAAGTGAAGATGGTTTGCACAGTGCAGTATGATGTATAAAGACACAAAGAAATAAGGTCTGTTTATTTACTACTAATCTTAAAGATATTATGTTCATTCAAAAATGAAAATTCATTTCCTTCTGTGGAACACAAAATAAGATATTTTGAAAAAGTAGTGGTTTAAACAACATTGGACTACATTGAGTTTCATGGTATGGACAAAAAAAACTTTTTGTTTTGTTCTGTTTTGTTTCAAAATATCTTCTGTGTTCCACAGAAGATTCGGAACAACATTACAGTGATTAAATAATGACAGAACTGTTGCTTTTTGGGTGAACTATGCCTTTAAGGAGCAGTGTCTGTGAAGAACTGTTAACCAGTGACATTAGAAATAGCAGTATTACCACCAGATATGACTTTGAAATGATCTGTTTGATGACAGCTGCAAACACAACGACATGTTGTTTCTATCAGTATTTATGAGGACAGGGATTTTGAGTTCTGTATGCATGAGCATGCATGGAGGAGAGAGAGAGCTCGAACACTTATACACAAAAACACTGCAGTGTTGCAAGAAAACTGTCAGAATTCACAGTGATACATTCATATTTCATCCCAGCCTGTGCCCCTGCTGTTCCCTGAGCTGGCAGTAGACCTGACCACAAAAGCAGCATACCAGTCTCTGCCTCTGTAGGGAAATCTGTTTAACAACCTATTGGTTTCTTTCTCTCTCTCCAAGGAATTCTGTCTTTCATGCCATGAAGCCTTTGAGCTGTTGGTGCTCGTGGGCCAATGCATCCTATGCATTTCAAGTTTGCATCTATATTTAGTATTTACTGTAATATTAATGAGCGGTGTAATGAACTGCCCATTGGCTCTCCACAGGCTTTCAAAGTGAAGATGTTCTATGTCATTCCATATCAGTTCATTTAGGAGGGTAACAGGTGCATCCCAATTTCAATAGAAAATTATTCAGGTCTTTGAGTATCCATTTAAGGTTTTCTCTCATTGTAAATAACAAATCTTTGCATGATAAACTGAAAACATATCTGTTCCTGCCTCGGGTCATTAAAACTTAGTCATAAAACAGCCTGGCATGCGTAATCTACGCGTTAAGTGCTTGAGTTCACGGTAGTGCAAAATAGCGATTACTCACACAGCGGTAGAAAATATATGTATTGATTTTTGACAATCGAGTCAACAGGTATGAAGTGTAGTAACCCCTGTCTTCCCACACAAAGTGGGTTTCCAGCGCGTTATGGCATATGTTGCAGTGCGCGCGCGGGAAGAGGGAAGAGTTCAGTTGACAGCTGCATAGGCTGCTGGGCAGTTTTCTGCGGAGAAGGACCCAATATTTAATTCTCGCTGTATGCACGGTTATGGCGCGAGACCGAGCCCCTCAGCGCATGCTTCAGTACCAGCAAACTCTGGTGAGTATCCCTTACCAAAAAGTAGTATACTTCAAGTTTATTTTAGTAAGTATACTTAAGTAAAGTTCAAGTATATTTTTAAGTATACTTTATGTATCCATGGAAAATTGCACCAGTGGCTGTTTACTTGTCTGAGGGGATGGATAAATTGATGGTACTGCCGAAATATGGATTGAGTAAAATAGGGAAAAGTGTGATAGAGTGTGCTGGTGAAACTGGTTGAGTCAGAGAAGACATTAGTCAGGACTACAAGAGCAGTGGCAATCAAAGGAATAGTGCACCCAGAAGTGACAAGTGATGACAAATAAATTTTGTCATTTACTCACCCTCATGTCATTCCATATTTCTTTTTTATTTTGTGAAGAGGTCTGTGAGATGTTTATTTCCATGCAAAGAAAGGGGTTGGTGACTGCCAAAATTGGACAAAAAGCACATAAAAGAGACTTAAATATGTTTTGGCTTTTCTCTGTCATTGAAAAGTTTGGGGTCAGTACATTTTTTTATTTTATTTTCTTATTTTAAAAGAAATTCATTTATCAAAAGTGACTGTAATGGTACAAAACATTACAATTTTAAGTAAATGTTGTTCTTTTGAACTATCCATTCATCAAAAAATCCTAAAAAAAATGTATTGCAGTTTTCACAAAAAAACATTGATAATACAATTTTTACCACCATCAAATAAGTATATTAGAATGATTTCTGAAGGATGATGTGACACTGAAGAATGGAGTAATGGCTCCTGAAAATTCAGCTTTGCCATCAAAGAAATTAATGACATTTTAATTTAAATAGAAAATGGTAAATGTTTTAAATTGCAGGAATGTTTCATAATATTACTGTTTTTAGTGTGTTTTTGATCAAATAAATGCAGCCTTGGCATAAGGAAGTTCTTTAAAAAAAGTAATGTTCCTTAATTTAAATATGGCCATTTTCAACTTCAGATGTCAGTGGGACAGATGTCAGTAGAGAATACACAGTTACATAGTGTACTTTTCAAAATTATTTGATGTCATTAATAGCAATTAAATAAAAAATTAAAAGCAAGTTTGAAAAATGCAACTTGAAACGATAAACTTGAAATTGAAATTAATTTAAACAATTTTTTCATATGACCTGAGAACACTTGGAATATAACACAAAAACCTCATTAGCTATGTTTCCATCACCCTGTTTTTATGCGCATTTTGAAGTATCGCATCAAAAACGAGTGATGGAAATGCCAAATTTCGAATAAAAAAGTTTTTACGCTCGCTTGAGTTGGTTTTTGACTTGTGCGAAAAAGGGTTAATGCGAATAATGGGAGATGGAAATGCATTTGCCAAGTAAATTCCTCCATGCGCATCAAAAAAGTAATGTGGCTCTGCGCTATGGGACGGCAAAACTTGACTAACCAGCGGACCGATCTTGTTCCACAGCATCTTATAGTGCCCCTATTATGGGTTATGAAAGGTTCGTATTTTGGTTTTGGGAGTCCCCAACAACTTGTTGAAATGCATGCAAGGTCAAAAAACACTTTCATTGTCTTATAATATGCATTTATTTTTTACCTTAGTTGCTCAACGACTCCCAAACGTTTCGCTCAACGATTCATTTTTCCAAACCCCTACTTTGCGTGACGCTAATCTGCGTGATTGGTCCGATTGGTCTCATTTTCATTGCATCATGCCTGTAATGCAGCGTTTGTAAGCGCAGTGCTGCTTTGTGTACAGCCGTTACCGGGGAAACAGCTGTTTTTACCGCTCCAAAAGCGGCACCTAGTGGCAAAGAATGAATTTGCATTTTCATTCAGAACAAGTTTTCAAGTTTTCTCGGGTCTGCGCGCGCAACAAGTGGGTGGGCAGTATGCTAATGTTTCATGTTGACGTCAACATGAAATGGCTTGGGATTTGTTATTTCGGTTTAAAAATGACTTGTTTCAAAGATTCAGGGTCGACTCTTTCTTTTGAGAGAAAATAACTTTATACACGGTGCACTTTCAGATTTAAAACTTTGCAGGATGTTTTCATTCACTTAGAGCTGTGTTACACACTGCATGAAAGGTAATTTTCAAAAATCCATAATAGGGGCACTTTAAATGTTGTTATGGTCAGTTTTAAATGCCTGAGCAAAGTCTGCCATCAAAGTATTTCTGTATAATTGCCTCCCAGAACTGTTACACGACTGCGTTCCCAAACAGCAGCATCCACCTCCGAAAGCAATGACCGCATTTATTTTGTTTCGTCTGCTCGCTCTGAGGCACAAGTAATTTATTATATATGAAAATGATTGGCTTCTCCTAGTTTTGTTAGTCATATATAGCGCCAGTTCTACCAGGAAGTGACGATTTTGTTCTCTTTGACTCGTTGGATGGAAACGGTGCTTATTCGCAAATGTTTTATGCAATATTTCAATTTTGCACATGTTAAATTCGCAACTTTGGATGGAAACCCGCCTATTGATTGTTTTGATATGATTATTTTTATTTTGAAACTTGATCTAACATCTCCTTTTGTTTTCCTTGAAACTTGTTGGTTTGACGTATGTGTATGTGAGTAAATTATGCTTTTCATTTTTGTATGAACTGTCCCTTTAAACCCCGCCTTTAGCAGTGAAGATATATGACTCTTGATTTTGACATTTCAGTGTGTGTTTCAGAATTGAGGATATACAAGAACAGATGTTTTAGACAGCTTTCCAATGTCCTCCATGAAGGGGAGTAGGATTTTGGCCACTGATAAGATCAAAGACTGTGGATGTGCAGAGGATATAAGTCCTACGGTGTGACATCAGCCTCCCCACACATCTCCAGCATGGTGCATGAAGTCAAATACATGTGATTATGCTTTTAGCACCGCTAGGGGATCGTTGCGGTGCAGTCACTAAAGCAGGAAGATGCTAATGACCTCACACTTTACCCACAAAACATGGGCAATAGAGAGGTTGTGGTGGGAAGTCTCTAACAGCCAGTGGTACTGCCTGCGGTTTGGTCATGCATGCACGTAAATTGATCTGCAGTGTTCATACGCTCTTGAATAAATTATATGCCAAATAGATATGCTATTCATCACTCACCAAGATGATTTGACTACCCCATTTATGATTTTTTTTTCTCAAATGAAGCGATGAATAACCTTAAGCAGGCAAGGCAACAGCTCTAATGACAGCCATATCAGCCTGATTGCAAAATGGATTAAAGAAGGCAGTTTAATCTCACATCAGCTTTTAGTCGCATGATCTCCATCCAAGCATCTGAAACACCATTTGGCCCTGAACCACTATAATTTAATACAACACCTCAGGTAAAGAAATTACACAATTCTTTAATATTCTTCGTTCTGGCTCAGTGTCAAATCGGCCCACACCAGGTGCGCTGGAATGCAGAGGAGTCATTAGTGTAATGGGATCAATGCCTTTATTCTTTTTTTATTTTTCTTAGAAGGTATGTTTTGGAAACATGAGGAGCTGTGGTTGCTGACAGAGGTTGTTTTCATGCATCGTCTGGCTCTGCTAAATGCTAATCCAATACAATACACTTTTCTTTACTTTTCCCATTATATATATTGAAGAAGGTGTGACATGGAGGACCTCAAACTTGTGCAATATCTTAATAAGCTTGCGTGTAGAGATGTGACATCAAATGCCCTGACTAGGAGCAAGAATTTGTACAAAAAGGCTTGATAACACCCTTTTAAGAATATGTGCAAAATTAGATTTTTTTTTTTTAAGCCAAGAGCTGAGGTAGGTTTTAGTTTATGGTAAGATCTTGAGAAAAGTTTCCACCTTATCACAACAAACTAATATTAAAGTTATTTTTTTTAAAGAAAGTGATCTTCACCGAGGAGCCATCAGTTGACAAAAAGTGAGAGTGAAGTCATAATTTTACTAATAATTGCTGTTTCAAATAATTGCTGAACTTTCTATTCATCACAGATTCCTGAGAAATATTAAGCAGCACAACTGTTTTCAACATTGATAATAATGTTTCTTGAGCCCAAAATCGGCATATTATAATGATTTCTGAAGGATCATGTGACACTGAAGACTTGAGTAATGGCTGCTGAAAATTCAGCTTTGCCATCACAGGAATAAATTACATTTTAATATGTTATAGCCTATTAAAAATATGTATTAAAATAAAAAAAAACAGTTACTATAACAATAGTATACCTGTCAATATTATTGTTTTTACTGTATATTTGATTAAATAAATGCTGACCTCTTTCAAAAACATTAAAACATTTGCACTGACACCAGACTTTTAAACATTAGTTTACATTGGCCTAATATGAGTGTTTTTCATGTATGTGACAAAACCCCATTTTTAATTTAAATTATTTTCATGGCATTAACATTTGTTTTTGATCTTCCTAATCAGAGTTTTTGTGAACGGTGTTCTTGTAGCCCAACTGGTAGAGCATGGTGCTAACAACACCAAGGTTAAACAAACAAAGGTTAAAAAAAATCGAATTTATTTTTCTTATCCCATAAATAACTGCCAAATTTAGTGAGGTACTTGAAATATATTTCACATTTATTATTATTATTATTATTTTACACAATTTTTCTTCTCAGGGTAATGCATCCTTTAAATGATGTTTAGATGTATTTTACTGAAAAACAAGACAAATACCAAGAGAATGTTTTTATTTTTTGGTGTATGCGTTCTTTTAATTTCTTTATGTGCTTGATAATTGTTTAACATGTTCACTGTACAGTGGGCTAACCCAAAGACACCATTCTAGAATTTTTGCCATGTTTTTGCTTACTGAGAAAATTTGCAGATCGTAAAAACAAGTAAGTTGTAATTCAGAATCTGCAGTCTTAATGTGACATGCTCAATGATGACCAATTAATTGCTTTTGAGATAAATCTTCTCTTACTGGGTTCTGGTCATGTTAAAATATGTGGGCCACATTTCTCCAGTGCAACTACTCTTATGACGCCCATCAAATGAAGAACCAATTGGAGCACAGCAATTGATGACCTTATCAGTGTGTGTGTGTGTGTGTGTGTCTGGATACAGACCAAAAGAGACAGAGAGAGATGGAGAGAGAGACGTTCAGTTGAAAATACTTGTCTATATGATAGGCTTAACACAAATGTCTTCTAGCCCTCAAGTTATTTTCATACTATCAAAATGATCTCTGGTGTCTGGTGTGAAGAATGACATCTTCTTTAGCCTAGCCACAGACTCCAGACATTTTAAATAAAAAAAACAGCTTGCTTTTGTTTGAGCAGCCCATTTCAATTTTGCATGTCAATGAGGATGTCAGAATGTGATGGGGACTGTAAAACGCCCAGTCATGGCTGTCAATCATAACCAAAGTCTTAGCTAAGATGCACATCGTACAGTTGACATAAAAGATGTCACACAGTCTTTCACAATCACACAAGATTGCAATGGGGTCATATTTCACAGTCTGACAAGGAGCAATCATGAAGGACAGCAAATGTCCTGCATTATACAGAAATCTTTAATTGTGGTGGATATAATGTTCCATTTAACCTGCAGTAGAGTGCCGCACCTGCCTTAGCGACGCAGGACTGGGCACTTGATGCTCTCAGATGGCTGGATAAAGGCTCTGAGGCAGAAGTGGTAAAAGGCTCCATTTACACTCCAAAACCCTTTAGAGAGATCTTTGCTACAGGCCACTCATATCCAAATGAAACCCTCCTTAGATTTTGTGTCTGTAGTTTTTTTTTTTATTAACATACTTGCTAGCTGTGTACCAATAAATGTACAGGTCAATGACATATTAGAGTGTCCTTGATAATGAGGAAAAATGTAAAAACATGTTACAAGAAACCTACTCTTTGTAGTAAAAAGTTGAATTTAATGCCTCTGAAATGCCATGTGGTGTAACCATCAAGTAAAAAGCATTTTTTTTTCTGTACGTTTTTTGGGACTATGAACTAGCCTTGATGTGACATGAGGTCAGGTAGAGGTCTACACAGACCCTCTTCCGTAAGATTCTCTCTCATTCTGGTGCCATCAACTATTTTTTCCAGTTCCCCCAATACACGAGTCCTCAAACCTTATGTCACGTTTGGTGAAGCAGGCAAAAGAGTGCTTTCCCTCACTGCCACCCACAATCGAAAAACATTGATAATATCCAATGCTGTGCCTGTAAATGGTTTGTTTTTGTTGCTCAACAGACAAATAACACAAATAACACAAAATACTTTTGAGTAGCTTTTATTTTATATTTCAGTATTTATGTTTCACAGGAGCCCTCCTCTTTTGTGTCGCATTCCATGGTACTTCCATGGGATTGCAGGCCGCTATTTGGTCCCACCACGTGACTTTGATTTAGACAAATGTTTATTTATGTATTTCTTTTCATTACTTTTGCCAGTTATCAAAATGAATAGCATTAGGGGTGGGCAATATGACCATAATCTTATATCATGATATGAGTCATTTTATTTCACAGTAACAATATATATCACAATATAGTTGCTTTTGCTTTAAACAAGGTCTTTATGATATCAAAACTTTAAAATTTCATAATTCTTGTCAGAAGTGTAATTATCTCAAAAAACTAATGCTAGCCTAAATTGAAAAAAAAAAACAAGAACTCAAGCTCACTGAAGACAAGTAAACAGTCAGCGATTAAATAGGAATAAGAAACTAATTACAAGCAATAGGACAAAAAAACTACAGTAGAACAAATAAATAAGAAATGCTACATACATTTGATAAAGTAATCAAATGTATAAAAACGCCATATTCTTCACTGTGTACATTAAATATATTTCTTATTACTAAATCTACAAAAGTGATTTAGTCAAGAGCATTTGAGAAATTTTCTCTCTTTTGTAGTTTAACATGAATGACAGACAGCAGGAATTTTAGATAGCTGTCACTTTAAGAGCTGCCCGGATCCAATATACTGTAACACAGTGGTTCCCAACCCTGGTCCTGGAGGCACCCCAACACTGCACATTTTGCATGTCTCCTTTCTCTAACGCACCAATTTCAGGTCTTGGAGTCTCTACTAATGAGCTGATGACCTGAATCAGGTGTGTTTGATTAAGGAGACATGCAAAACGTGCAGTGTTGTGGTGCCTCCAGGACCAGGGTTGGGAACCACTGCTGTAACACATGTGTTTTCTTTCTCAGCTGTTTGCTTTCACTTAAGACCTAAATGACTGTGTTTACGAGGATACTTGCAAAGATGAGCATTTTGACACATACAAGTTTGTGTATTTAACGGTTCAAGGCCTATAAAGTGTCAAAAATAACTACTCCCTCTCTTTATGAGCACCGTGTTCACGTGCACGCGCCTCTCTGACAGCGCTCAGAAACTCTCTCAGACAGCACGTGCATATTGCGAAATTAGTTCTCTTTCGCTGCCGATTGCTTTTCAATGGCTTAATATCACTTGTTTTTAAAACAAAAACATGTGCAAACATTAAATTTTCATGACCACGTAGCACAGCAACATCACCGCGATAGAGACGATAGTCGAAAATCTCTACCTGACACATCACAGCAACAATAGCACTGTATGACTGATTGGTTTTTATTTCATTTTTCCTTTTTATGCAAAGTTTTCACGAACTTGTTAACTATATTGTATAATATCTGGTATTGATTGAGATTATCAAATACTTTTAAGTAAATCTATTTTGTAGTTTAAACACATTATGCCGAGTTCACACTGCACGATTTTAGCCCGATTTTTCACTCGCCGACAGGTTTTGCGAAATCGCCGACAAATGCCCGAAATCGGAGGCAAATCGGTGCTCGTTCACGCGAGTGACAATCACGCAGTGTGAATTATCAAAGACGCGATCTGAGGGAATCACGCTGTGTGAAATGAGTTCTGACTGAAAAAC